TAACCTTGAATGGGCACTAATGAAAGGTCACTAAATGTCACTGAACGGTCACTAAATGTCACTTTGAATGGTCACTAAATGAAAGGTCATTAAGTGTGACTTTGAACGGTCACTAAATGAAAGGTCATTAAGTGTAACTTTGAACGGTCACTAAATGAAAGGTTACTAAATCTAACTTTGAACAGTCACTAAATGAAAGGTCACTAAGTGTAACCTTGAACAGTCATTCACTGAATGTCACTGAATGTCACTGAACAGTCACTAAATGTCACTTTGAATGGTCCTTAAATGAAAGGTCATTAAGTGTAACCTTGAACGGTCACTAAATGTCACTTTGAATGGGCACTAAGTGAAAGTTGAGGACTAGTTGCACAATGTGCTGCAAACTGGCATTTATGGTTTCCAGCAAGGTCACTGGCTTACTTAACGGCCACTGGGTTCGCTGAACGACCACTGCATTGGCTTAACAATCGCTGTAAAAAAAAAAAGCAAAATAACCCCAACAAAAAACGGTTTCGGTCCTCTAGTAACCACTTTACAACCAAAATTGCCCGGCTCAGTTACAGTCGTAAATCGAGGACTATTGCAACAGCATCGTGGTGTCTAGATCAGGGGTAGGCAACCTTGGCTCTTTTATGACTCGTGGACTTCAACTCCCAGAATTCCTGAGCCAACATGGCTCAGCTTGGAAACCTCTCCATTTCTCCTTAGCATGGCTGGCTGAGGAATTCTGGGAGTTGAAGTCCACCAGTCATCAAGGGAGCCATAGTTCCCCCATGCTGGCTCAGGAATTCTGGGAATTGAAGTCCATGAGTCATAAAAGAGCCAAGGTTGCCTACCCCTGGTCTAGATTATGTCCCGACGTCAAGAGCAGGTTGAACCATCCTTACCTTCAAATGGACATAATCGTACTCGTCAGCCAGACGGATCCCCTCGTATTCGTTGTGGACGTCGTCCCTGGCTTGGTCCAGTGGCTCCCCTGCCCCGAGACCCCCCAGCCGGGGCGGCGGGGGAGGCAGTGGTCGGTCCTGGATACTGCCCTTCCGCACGATGCTGGGCGATGGAGGTGGAGGCTCTCCGGAAAGCCGCTCCTCGCTCGGAAGAGCGGGCAGCGGACGGCGGGATAGGCTCTCCGCGGACGGCAGCCGGGGGCGAGTGGGGGGTCCCGGGTCCCTTAGGCTGAGTCCTTGGAGGGTTCCCTCCAAAGGTGGGGTGCTGGGCGTCAGCAGAGGAACGTCATAAATGGCCCCATCTTCCTCTTCCTCCTCTCCCTCCTTTCCTCCCGCCCGGATGTCTTCGGGAGACTCGTACAAGTTAAGCAAGGCTGAAGCCCGGCGTAAATTAGACGGGATGGCGTAGATCAGGGGCCCTTCGCAACTTCCTTCGTTCTCCTCTTCCTCCTCTTGGGCGAGGGCCTTTTTGAAGGCCAGGGGCACGTCGTAGGCCTCATCCACATTTGGAGGGGCGCTGGGTTGGGGGGCTACCCGGGCGACTTTTTTGACCCGTGGGGCGGGAGAATCGTACGTGTCCAAAACCACGTCCCGGAGCAAAGACGAGGGCACATCATAAACCTGCGAGCAGAGAAAAAAGGATAAAAAGGAAGAATTCCCAAATTAAAGCATGTTTTGGTGTCAGGCATCAAGCTAGGCCATACACTAGTTTGGCTGGGTGAATCCAGTTATTAACCATAGTTTGCATCTCAGTGCCTTTGGATCACGCAACGTGGCTTGATCAGGAGTGGAATGCTCAGCATGGATGATAAACACAGTCACTGTGATTGTAAACTGCAGTTTATGGCTTAGCTTGATGTAGGATCCCTGCTTTAGTGGTTTAGTCCATGTACCATGGTTAAAACAAACCATGGCTTACATTATACATCAAGATGTCAAACTAGGGCCTTTGAAGGTGTGTGGACTTCAATTCCCAGAATTCCCATGGTTGGAGAATGAGGCCTTTAGGAGAGTATTTTCCAACCTTGGCCCCCTGAAGATGGGTGGACTTCAACTCCCAGAATCCCCATGGCTGGCTTTGGGGCCTTTAGGACAGTGTTTTTCAACCTTGGCCACTTGAAGATGTGTCTGGCTGGGGAACTCTGGGAATTGAAGTCCACACATCGTGAGGTAGAGAAACACTCAGATAGAGGATAAAGATCATAGTGGACACATTCAGCTAAATCATTTTTCTCTATTCTCATGCTTCTAACCAGCCTTTCAATGAAAGATCCACATATATTTTGATTTTTCCCCCGTTCCATCTCTTTCCCCTGGAAAAATTAGGAATAAAGATCGAAGCCTCTTCTACTGGAAGTTTTTAAGAAGAGACTGGACAGCCATTTGTCTGAAATGGTATAGGGTTTCCTGACTGAGCAGGGGGTTGGACTAGATGACCTCCAAAGTCCCTTCCAAATTATTATTATTATTACTTCATCCTTCACCCCGCTAGTTTTCTACCTAGGGGACTTTTTAAAAAACATTTGAGCAGAAACCTTCAAGCATCTACAGGAACGCCTCAGCTTACGACCACAAGGGAGCCCAAACTTTCTGGCGTTAAGCAAGACAGCTATTGTGTGAATTTTGCTCCATTTTACAACCTTTCTCACCACAGTTGTAAATGAATCACTGCAGGTGTTAAGTTACTAACACGGTTGTTAGGAGAAACTGGCTTCCCCCCATCGACTTTGCTCGTCAGAAAGTCGCAAAAGGGGAATCACGCAACCCCGGGATGCCGCAACCGTCATAAGTACATGCCAGTTTCCAAGCGTCCGAATTATGATCACGTGACCCTGGGGATGCTGCAAACAGCCACGAGTGTGAAAAACAGTCGTAAATCCCTTTTTGGGGGGCCGTTCACTAAACAAATGGTTGTTAAGTGGAAGATTATCTATACTGCTTGCTGACGGATCTATTGCAGCCTCTTTGATTGATGACCATCTTGGTTTGTTGGACCAGACTTGACTTCTGGCCTAATCTGGAGATCCAGACGGCCCCTCTGGCGTTGACCGATATCCCCAGCTTCAAAAGACGCCAGGGACGCTCCCGAAATTACAGTCTAGCCTTGCTTTTTAAACCTCACCAGCTGCTCCTCCGGCATTCTCACCTGTCCTTCCCACCCATGTGTTTCTCCATCTAAGGCAAATGTTGGCTTGGCTGGGGAAGGGAAAAAAGGGCCCCTGTGCAGGCAGCTGTCCCTTTGTAAAGGGCTCAGATACAATTACTCTCGGCGGCAGGACAGGCGTAAAATTTAATCCAACAGGCGCGGCCAGTTGTCGTTCCAGCCGCTGGGCACCCCATCCGATGACAACTTGCGCAGAGATCAGATATATTTTGATAAGCTAATAAAAACCTGGCAACTACAAAAGTTTTGCTTCTCATCCAAGAAGCTTCTTCAGTTCTGTTCTGCTTCCAAACCAGCTGAGGTTTTTGACTCCCAGGATCAGATTTAGAATAGAAACCAGTTGGACACCGGACAGGAGGCAAAATAATAAATAAGTACAATAAGAATAAAATAATGCAGCAAAAATGACTGGGAACTGAACTGGCAAAAGCCTTAAAAATGAGCAAGTCAAGATCCTGTGACCCAAACAGACAAGACATATGGCCCACATTAGGCCTGAAGTGACTATTGTGACAAAGAAAAAAAAGTCTGGCTCTTTGTTATTGCGATACCAGGGGACGCACGAATGGAAGAGAAACAGCTAAGGAAAAACAAATAACAAAATATTGTGATTTGCAAATTGAAGTTGAGCAACTATGGAGGTAAAAATCAATGGTTGTAGCAACAGGAGCCCTTGGAGCAATTCCCAAAGGGCTGCCGAGATATATGGAAATGTTGAACTTATTAGACCTGAATATTCTGACTTTGCAAACAAACAAACAAACAAAAACCACCTTACTCGGAACTGCCTATATACTCAAGACGCTACCTTAATAGCTCTTAGGTCCTTGGTTAGGACTTGAACTGTTAAGTTTTTTACCAGTCCCAGACTGTGAATCGAATTGAAGATTAACCGTAATAAAATAAAATATAAAATATAATAAGAATATTAGAATAGAATAGAGTACAATAGAATAGAATAGAAAATATAGCATAGATTAGAATAGAAAATATAGAATAGAATAGAAAATATAGAATAGAGTACAATAGAATAGACAATATAGTATAGATTAGAATAGAAAATATAGAATAGAATAGAAAATATAGAATAGAATAGAATAGAAAATATAGAATAGACTACAATAGAATAGAATAGAAAATATAGCATAGATTAGAATAGAAAATATAGAATAGAATAGAATAGAAAATATAGAATAGAGTACAATAGAATAGAAAATATAGCATAGATTAGAATAGAAAATATAGAATAGAATAGAAAATATAGAATACAAAATATATAATAGAATAAAGTACAATATAATAGAATAGAAAATATAGAATAGAGTACAATAGAATAGAATAGAAAATATAGCATAGATTAGAATAGAAAATATAGAACAGAATAGAAAATATAGAATAGATTAGAAAATATAGAATAGAAAATATAGAGTACAATAGATTAGAATAGAAAATATAGAATAGAATAGAAAATATAGAATAGAATAGAATAGAAAATATAGAATAGAATAGAATAGAAAATATAGAATAGAATAGTATAGAAAATATAGAATAGAATAGAAAATATAGAATAGATTAGAAAATATAGAATAGAAAATATAGAATGGAATGGAATGGAATGGAATGGAATAGAATAGAATAGAATAATAATGACGCTGGTCATACCATCTGGGTTGATACAGCTAAGTCCTTGACTTACAACAGTTCATTTAGTGACTGTTTGAAGCCACAACCACACTAAAAAAAGTGACTTAGGATTGTTTTTTACACTTACGACCTTTGTAGCATCCCCGTGGTCACGAGATCAAAATTCGGACGCTTGGCAACTGACTCATATTTATGACGGTTGCAGTGATCCGGGGGTCCCGTGATCCCCTTCTGCGTCCTTCTAACAAGCAGTGGGAAAGCCAGATTCGCTTAACCACCGTGCGACTCCCTTAACAAGCGTGCAATGATCCACTTAACAACTGTGGCAAGAAAAGGCCAAGATTGGAGAAGGCTGGAGCCAACTTCGGCTGCCCGTGAAAACCGGTCATCTTCTCATTTGTCTTATTCTCTCAAAGTACCTCCACAGATTCTCCTTCTCTTCTGGTACCCCGAGGCACCCTGTAGATGCCCTCCGGGGGCAGCGGGCAGGGCCGAGCGGGCGGCGGTATCTCATACACCTGGGGTGGAAGAAAAGACAAGGAGAAACCAGGAATCAGGATTCGGAGAGAAGCAGCAGATCCCAGGAGCTCATATCTGAGATAGGTTCGCCCAACATTCCTGGGTTAAAAAAAAAGGGGATGGAGAGTTCACGGTTGAGTGTGATGGTGGTGGGGGGAGGAGACCAGCTTTCATCATGGTGGGTTGGGTGACCCACCCCATGCCCTCCAAGTGGACCTCAAAAATTGGGAAGATTTGGGTAAGCCGTTGAGGGGATTTAGATGGTCAAAGGGTTCCTCCTCAAGATCTGTTCTAGTAGGCACCCTTCTCCGGCCTGGGGCCTTGAAAAGATGGTGGAGCCCAATTCCCATCATCCACACCCAGCTAAAATGGGGGGGACAACTTGACGTATCTGGACGTTGACAGGCTGCTAAACTCTGCTCTAGGGGAAGGGGAGACGTTGAAGTCCAGTTTTGGTGTCTTGGGTAGAAGTCTGAGAAGATGGAAGAGGAGTCATCCAAGGTGGCATCATGGAGAGAAACAGGCAGGAGAGGACTTTCAGCTCCTCCTCACCTCCTGTTCTTCTTTCCTTTGTTCTCTTCTTCTCCACTCGTCTATGGCTCCGTCTGAGATCTTTCCCACCAGAAGACCGTCCTTCTTCGGCACCTGGTAGACCTCTGCTGAGGTGTGGTTTGGGTGAGATCCCGACTCGGGGAGGACCTTAACCCTGTTGGCCGGCACGATCCCTTGTTGGCCGTGCAATGAACACAAGTGCCAGCCTTCCAGGCCGGCCCCTTCTGGCTGGAGTAGGACCATGAGGTCCCCCTTGTGGAACGAGAGTTCGTCCGGACACTCGGCCGTGTTGTCGTACAGAGCGCGACACAACTGCGCCTGTGGATGAAAAACAAGGTGGAGACACAAGGCTCAAGTCACACTTTCCAAAGCTCGGCTTTAAGCTGGGCTCTCCAGACTACGATACCCAGAATTCTTAAGACTGCAGCTCTCAGAATTCCCAGACTACAACTCCCAGAATTCCCAGACTACAACTCCCAGAATTCCTAGCCCACCTGGCTGGCTAGGTTACCCACAAGCAAGATGCTGAAAGGACCTTTTTACAACACAAGGTGGGAACCAACAACGGTAAATTTTAATGGTTGTCTTTACGTGTATCTGCCCTTCTATAACAAGCAGTCCTTGTTTAGCGACTGCCTCACTTAGCGACCGTTTGCAGTTACAACAGTGATGGAAAAGGAACTTTGCAAACAGCCCTTGCATTTACGACCTTTGCAGGTCTGCAAAGCAAAGGAAAGCTGAGCGGAGATTGCAAACATCACGTTTCACTTAGTGTCCAACAACCAAGTTGCCCAACTATGGTCGCTAAATGAGGACTATCTGTATATTAAAACTGCCCTAGGCTTCTGTGCTAGATTTCTACCTAATGGGGATATTTAATATATATATACATATGGGAAAGATTATTATATCACATAAAGTTACATAGGCATTTCTCACAACCACAACTCCCATCGTGCTCGGCTATTCTACTTTCTCCAGCTGCATCCTGCAGATGTGTTGGGCAGCCACCCCATCATCCTGTTCCCTAAAAGCTGAAGCAGCTTTGGAAACATCTGATTGAGAGTCTGAGGCTAAAGGATTGGAAATTTGCTCTCCCCGCACATAGAAAACTAGTGCCTCAGGGACAATGTTAGCTCTTCACTGGCAGGGAGTTTTGAACCAGCCTTAATCCAGCCATCTCCCCTTCCCTGATATTCTGAACAGGCTCTACCCACTAGGGATGAACCCCGGCCTTCCTTAAGGCTGCACCGATAAGCTGCATTTTTAAATGCAAGCACATCCATGCTTGAGTTCCCTCGAAAAATAGCAAGGAGGAGTCAAAAGACTTCCGGCTGGGAAGTTTGCCCAAAAATTGGGAACAGGATGAAGCAGGACAAGCTCTGGCATTGCTCGGCATCCCCTTTTATAAACAGTCGCTGAGTTTTGCAACCAAAACTTTTGTTTTTCACCAAAAAACTAGTTTCTAAGCATTTTTCGGACTAATCAGCAATAGAACTAATCCTCGACTTACAAAAGTTTTGCTTAGTGACCGTCCGAAGTTACAACGGCACCGAGAAAAGGGACTTAGGTTACTTTTTCACACTTACGACCCGTTGCAGCCTCCCCCGTGGTCAAGTGATTTACGTTTGGATGCTTGAAAGCTGACTCACAGTTATGACACCCCAAATTTCTGTATCTGCTAAGTGAAACGTTTGTTAAGTGACTTTGGCCCCATTTTATGGCCTTCCTTGCCCCAGTTATTAAGTGAATCAAGTGAAGTGTGATTACATACACAACAGGAAGGAAGGAAGGAAGGAAGGAAGGAAGGAAGGAAGGAAGGAAGGAAGGAAGGAAGGAAATGGGAATGAGGAGAAGGAAGGAAAGAAGGAAGGAAATGGGAAGAAAAGAAAGAAGGAAAGAAGATTAAGTGAGTTTTGCCCCACTTTACGACCTTTCTTGCCACAGTTGTTAAGTGAATCACTGCAGTTGTTAAGTTAATCACACGGTTGTTAAGCGAATCCGCCTTCCCCCATTGACTTTGCCGGTCAGAAGGTCGCAAAAGGGGATCACATGACCCTCGGGACACTGCAACGTCGTAAATACGAGTCACTTGCCAAGTGTCTTGAATTTTTATCATGTGACCCTGAGGATGCTGCAACGGTCGTTAAGGGTGAAAAAACCGTCATAAGTTATTTTTTTCAGCGCCGTTGTAACTTCGAACAGTCGCTAAATGAACCGTTGTAAGTTGAGGACTAGCAATATTTCCCTATTTTTTCCCCCCAGTCTTTGTTTAGCCATCCGAGCATCCTACAAACGCCGCAATAATCAGGTTAAAATATAATATACATCTTGAGCAATAATCTTTTTTTGATGAGGTGATGGCGGAAAAGCTGCTGATGGTAACTTGGCGGACAAGAAGAAAAGCAAAATCACCCGCCTGGGTGTTGACAAGATAAAATTTAGCCAGAAATTATGTCATTTGGGGGAGTTTAAGACACAGCCCAGAAAGCGGAAAGTTGACAAATTTCAGGGAGCCAAAAGTTTCTATTATTTATGGGAAATATTTCCTCATCGACGGATCATCGAAACGGGGCCTAACTTTTCACCTCAGAAAAACTGCCATATTTTTCAGATTGGCGAGGGGAGCCCTCTCTTAAGTGTGACAAGGGACTCTGAAACCCATAAGCCACTCGATTTTCCCTTGACAGGTAGTCCTCGACTTACGACCACCACGGAGCCCAACATTTCTGCCGCTAAGCGAGACATTCGTTAAGTGGGTGTCCGGCCCCATTTTGCGACTTTTCTTGCCACAGTAGGGAATGGCGGCAGTTGTTAGTCACACGGTTGTTAAGTGAATTCGGCTTCCCCCCATTGACTTTGCTTGTCAGGAGGTCGCAAAAGGGGATCACGGGACCCCGGGACGCTGCAACCGTTCTAAGTACACGCCAGTTGCTAAGTGTCTAAATTTTGATCAGGTGACCGCGGGAGATGCCGCAACGGTCATTAAGCGGGGAAAAACGCTCATAAGTCGCTTTTTTTCAGTGCCGTTGTAACTTTGAGCGCTCTCTAAGCAAATTGTTGTCAGTCAAGGACTACCTGTAGTAAGCCAAAACACACAAAAAGTGCTTTCCAAGAAAATCTGAACCTAAAAAAGCTTTCACCTTCAGCAAAACCACTCAGGTAGAACCCTAGCTGCAAAGGAAGGCCTGGGTTTTTTTTTGGGGGGGGGTGGAATTAAAAGTATTTTGATTTGCAAAAGTATTCAGGAGAGCATTATGTTCCTCTCTCCCCCCCCCACAATAGCTTTTTCTGCGCCCCTCTTTGTCAACCAAAGTCAACACTACATCAAAGCCTTCCCCACCACTTATCCGTTTCCAGATAATAAGGAGGCCCAAATAACCTTGGAATACAAATCTTTTCACTAAGGTCAAAATTGTTCTCAATCCTGTTTTACTACAAACTGTGGTCAGGGTAGATTTTTCTTTTCTTTTCTTTCTTTCTTTCTCTCCCTCCCTTTCTTTTTTTTTCTTTAAATCTTTTTCTTTCTCCCTCCCTTTTTCTTCTTTTCCTCCTTTCCTTAATTCATTCATTTATTCTTTCCTTTCTTTCTTTTTGTCCCTCCCTCCCTTTTCTTTCCCCTTTTCTTTCCTTTTTTCCCTCCCTTCCTTGACTCATTCATTTATTCTTTCCTTTCCCCTTTTTTGTTTTTATTTTATCCCTCCCTTTTGCTTTTCTCTTTTCTTTCTTTGCTTGATTCATTCTTTCTTTCTTTACTTTTCTCTCTCCCTTGCTTCCCCTTTCTTTCAATCTTTCTATCTTCCTTCCTTTTCTTTTTCTTACTCTCTCCCTTCCTTCTTTCTTTCTTTCTCTCTCCCTTCCTTCCTTGATTCATTCATTTGTTCTTTCCTTCCTTCTTTCCTTTTTTGTCCCTTCCTCCCTTCCTCCTGATCCTTCTTTTTCTTTTTTCCCTTCCTTCCTTCTCATTCATTCTTTCCTCCTTCCTCTTTCATTTCTCTTTTTTCTGTTTTTTAATTTATCCCTCCCTTTTTCTTCCTTTCTCTTGCTCTTTCCTCTTCTTTCTTTCTTTCTTTCTTTCTTTCTTTCCTTCCTTCCTTTCTTTCTTCTTTCTTTTTCTTTTCTCTTTTCTTTCTCTCCTACTTACACTTGTAGACATGTTGGCCCTCCAACATCAAACAAAGGAATCAGAAGACCTGAACAGCTTCAGCGGACCAGAATGACACCTTAATATATTAAGACTCTTGAAAAAATAAAGCCAGCCTTTAGAAGCATTCTTCTCTTTTGCTCTGTACGTTATGCCCGGAGGGAGAACAACAACAGAAGAAAAAAAAATTCCTGAGAAATTTAAAATTGATTTTTCGTCATCTTAAAGAGGCCAACAAACCGCAAACATAGAAGCTATAACTCTCCAAAGAATCCTTGGCAAGCTGGTTCCTGATGAATATTCCAATGGAAAGTGGGGGAAAAAAAATTCTCTAAATAAAATCAGTAGTTCCTATATTTTTTGTGTGCAGTGAACGTGGTTCTTCCTCAGAAGTTCGGCCAGTTGCAATTTGCAATTCCCTATGATTATTCCCCCAGCAGTTTTTCTGAGGTTTTCCAAATCTCTGGGTCAGCAAAATTAGCCCAGGAAAGCGACTTGAGTAACTCTGATTACTTCCAGCCCAAAAGGATTGAGCAAAAGAAGACAAAACGCAACAAGCTGGAACACAGATCTGTGCAGAAAGTGGAAAAGCAACCCAGAGACATTTACAGTTCTTCTTTCCAAAGCTTGTAAAAACCGGAATAAGGAGAACAGTCAGATTTTGCAATGTCATGGAATCCAACAAAAGAAATCAAAGTTTTTCCTTTTGGCAACGAACAGGCCCAAATTGCCAACAGTTCGTGGAATCACATCTGCCCGCAAACTTTTGCTCTTGAATCCATATTTATTTTTATTTTTTTTAAAAGAGCCAGTTCAGAAATTCCTTCAAAAATATTCAGCAAGCAGCTTTTATTGTTTTCCTGAGAACAAGCAAGATTCACCGGCAGTTATCTTTAATATTTTGCCATTTTCCTCCGCTCCTCTGCTTTGTTCAATATTGAGGTTTTGAGTCAAACTTTCATCCGATTCCGAAAAGGCTTGGCATCGATCCAGTTCAAAAAAATTCCAATTCGCCCACAGATCCGACACGTATTTCCAACGAGGATTGGCAAAAGCAACTCCAGGAATTTTGATGCATTTCCAAATAAACGTAATCTCCTTCCAGAACGGCAAACTCCTTTCTCCCTACAAGGCTAAAGAGTGAGGTTCTAATCCAGATAATTTTAATTTCAAGGGAGGTTTCCTGCTCCCTGAATCCCACCCCCCAGAAAATCCTTTGAGGATTGCCGGATAATCTTGCATGTCATTCTTCCAATCGAAACACCAGGCGGGAATGTCCAGAGTCAGCAGGGGCACATTGCGAAAATCCAGATATTTTGTTCTTTGTTGGGCCAAATATTTATTCCAGAATGACAGTCAGAGGCAGGGAGGAGTTTCATGCAAATTTCCCCAAATTCCTAAAGGTTGTGGAAGGGAACCTGTTCCAGGGCTGAGGGTGGCAGCATCAAATTCCACTGTGTCCCCCTCTTGGTCACCTGCTGAGCACAAAATACAAAGAGTTATTGTAAGGATTTGTTTCCAGTCTTAACTTAAAGAAAGTGACTTTCCCAAAGCCCTTTGGATCAAACCCAAAGGGAGATTTCTTGCATTCTGGAGGAAGGTTAAAAAGTATTTTTCTTTTTCTTTCTTTCCTTCTTTCTTTCCTTCCTCCTTCTGACTTCCCTCTTTCCTTTTTTTCTTCCTTCCTTCCTCTCCTTCCCTCCCTCTTCCTCTTGTCTTTCCTTTCCTACCATCCTTCCTTCCTTGCTATCTTTTTCTTCCTTCCTTCCTTCCTCCCCCCATCCCTTTCTCATTCCCATCTTCTTTCTTCCTTTTCTCCCTCCCTTCCCTTTTCTCCTTCCTCCTCTGCTTCTTTTGTCCTTCCTTCTTCCTTCCTCTTCTCTTCCTTCCTTCCCTTTTAACTCCTTCCCTGTCTTTCCTTTTTCTTTCTTTCCTCCCGTTCCCTTTTCCTTCCTTCCTTCTTGTCTATTTCCTTTCCTTCCTTCCTCCTCCCTCTACCTTTCCCTCCCTTTCTTTCTTTCCTTCTTTTCTCCCCTCCCCTTCCCTTTTCCTTCCTTCCTCTCAACTATTCCCTTCCCTTCCTTTCTTCTGTCCTTCCTCCTCCCTCTACCTTTCCCTCCCTCCCTCCCTCTTTCTTTCTTCTTTCTTTCTTTCTTTCCTCCCCTCCGCTTTTCCTTCCTTCCTTCTTGTCTATTTCCTTTCCTTCCTTTCTTCTGTCCTTCCTCCTCCCTCTACCTTTCCCTTCCTTTGTTTCTTTCTTTCCTTCTTTCTTTCTTTCCTTCCTTCCTTCCTTCCTTTTTTCTTTCTTTTTTCTTTCCTCCCCTCCCCTTTTTCTTCCTTCCTCTCATCTATTTCCTTTCCTTCCTTTCTTCGGTCCTTCCTCCCCCCCTCTACCTTTCCCTCCCTTTTTTTTTCTTTCTTTCTTTCTTTCCTTCCTTCCTTCCTTTTTTCTTTCTTTTTTCTTTCCTCCTCTCCCCTTTTTCTTCCTTCCTCTTGTCTATTTCCTTTCCTTCCTTTCTTCTGTCCT